ATGAGCTTGGTTCTGTCTTTAAGGAGAAGATAATTGGTATTGTGATAAGAGTGTTTTCAGGCCCCTGCAGATGTGGAATCGCAGGCTGCAAATGGATAACTTGCTCATTAAATTCTAATAATGTTTTATTGAGTTTTTGTTTTTCTGATTTTATCTTTTATAATGTTCAGATGCATGCTTGTAATGGACTCTTTTCAGCTGCCAAAGAGGCTCTGGAACAATGAGCCTAGAAGCTCAGTGAAGCGCAGCGAGGCTTTGACCTGAATGCTAATGTCAGCATGTTCACAATGACAAAGTTAATATGTCAATGTTTGCTGTGTTCATCATCCTAGTTTACATCACAAATACTTGGTGATGTGGAGGGAAAAAAATCATGCTCTTTAGTTAATATTTAATCTATATGATGAAGACAGCATTTATGAGGAACTCAGGATCTGGCTTTTTATAAGCAGATGAATTACTGTGGCCAAAGTGGGCACATGACTGTGAAAAACAGCTCACACAGCGACGGACCCCAATTTTGCCATTTTTGTTACAAAAACAAAACAGTAACATTTCGAGTGGGCCATCTAATAATCAGAAGGTTGGTGGTTCGAACCATCAGTCCACTATCTTTGATGTGCAGAGTGTGCGTGAATGTTGGGCCAAGTGTTACGCAGAGAAACAAGCACCTGTGTGAATGAGCCGAACCAGAAACCCAGTTAAATCTACACGTGTACGGAAAAGCTTGTCACTGCTATAGTTTCAAAGGAATCATAGCTGATGTTGGATTAAAAATATTGAACTATTGCAGCATGACATTTGTGTTTACATCACTGTGACGGGGCGCGGTTTGCGGTGCTGCTGCAGGTGCGATTGACCCACCTGAGCGGCATCTGCAATCACGCCTCGCTGGCTTAAAAGTTTAGAGTGGCGAAGTGGTTGTGTATGTGAGCTGCAGCGGGAGTGCGTCTGTGTGTGTGTGTGTGTGTGTGTGTGTGTGTGTGTGTGTGTGTGTGTGTGTGTGTGTGTGTGTGTGTGTACGGCAACCGGTAAAATAAAGATGATCAAAATGCCACTGAGTCTGCCGTGTATGTTTACAATCACTATCAGAGAAATATACACTTCTCTTTGTTATATTTGTTACTGCTATGAAGAAGTCATCTTTGATCTGACTATTAAACTTGAGTTCCTCTATGACCGCTCTCTTCACTTCTTTTTGGACTATGTTGACCACCTGGCAACCTCTAGTTGCTAGGGAAAATCTGAATTTCCTGACCATTAAGTGAGTGGTTGCTGGCTGGCTGACACACGGTGCCACACTGAAAACCACCTTGTGATTACTTTGGTCACTAAAAGATTTCCGCAATCATCTGTTGTTTGCATGGGAGACGGCTGCGTTTCTGGTTTGCATCAAACCTTTTCAGGTTTTACTACCTCATGGTGGCTACTAGTTAGCAAGTGTTTGCATGCTCATCTTCACGTCTTCTATGCAGACTACAGGGAACTTTTTAGGAACCAAAGCAATCACAAGGAGGTTTTTGGTGCAGCATGCTCTTTGTGACCAATTTCACCCAGCAAACACTCATTGATTGGTTAGAGAAAACTATTTAATTACTATATCATTTTTTTATGCTTTTTCTTAGCAATTGGAAGTTGTTGTGAAGTTGCCAACCAGTCTCTGAACTTGTGTGGCTGAGGCCTAGGCAGCAGTCGTGCAGGATATATGATAAGGACAGGAAGAAGACCTTTTTATACATCTGTAGATAAAAGAGGAGTTTCATTACAGAAGTCTACATAGAAGTGCTTTAAGCTTGCTTTCTATTTTAAATATAGCTGTAGTTGCAAAAATATCTTATGTTCATATAGACATCTGCTGGTGAACACTTGATTAGTTTATGGGCTCAGTCACTCATTTTTTGGATCATAATGAATAATATATTTAGTCCACTTTGTAAATTTTGGTTATTCTAAATTTAAGAAATGAGAATTATCCATTCATTGTCACATCTGCCACTCATTACCACATCTGGAAAAAAAAACTTTATCTTGAGGCTTTAAAATGGGACCTTATAGACCACCACAGTATCTACAAACAGAGGTGATGATGCACACAGATTAGTCATCTGAGATCATACTATTAGTCATATGGTACTGACACAGAATAAAATAAGTTGGAAACATGTCCAGCTGTCTTTAAGAGAGTTTTAGACCATCTGGGTGATTATATTTTGTAAAATATAAAACATCTTGGATGGCTTTTTTCGCTTTTGAAGGCCTGGTTGGAGGGTTAAAGGTGGAATTGGTTCTAGGTTAGAGTTTGGGACTTAAATGTGTGGTTAAGAAGATTGGGAATGCATTGATGTAAATAAATATCCTCAAAAAGCCAAATTAACAAGACTCTGTCTGTATGTGTGCAGCACGCTCTACAAACAGAGTGGAGCAGGCAGCAGCCAGTGTAACAAAGAGCAATGTTTAGCCAAAATATGAGCACCGTTTATGCAAATTAACTCAAACTTAACTATGCACTTACTCTAGTCCTTAGCTAAATATCCGCCAGGTTTGAAGCGAATCGGATCAACAGTTTTTGAGCTAGCTGAAGAAAAGCTAAATGTTAGTTAATAAATAAAATCACAGCATGCGTCCTTCCAGTATTTGTTATTGTAATTCATTGAAATGATGTGTATTTCTCAGACACTGGGTGAAGAAAGAAAGAAGGTCAGTGGAAACACATCTACATCACTGGATTGTAATGAAGCAGCTCAGTGGAGACAGAGGAGAAGGGGGGAGGAATGTTTTTCTAGCAGCAAATGTTGGTATTAAAATCTGGCAGACGTAAATGCATCGCAGCGTGATATCCGCAGATCACAGAGCGCTGCCAGAGCTGCTTTCCTGTGCCAGCGTGACTGTGCTCAGGTTCTCAGAGAGCTCTGGGGAATCTGCGAAGCTGCCACCATCAAACCAGAACTGTGTCAGAGGAGAGCTTGAGTAATAAATTGCTGAGATTATTACAGGGAGTTCCTCCAGAGTGTACATAACAACTTCAGTTTAGTGAGGTTTCTGGGGGAAGAGGAAGTGAGCAGGTCAGACTTGCCCCACTTTACTTGCAAGGCTGTCTTTCATCCTGTATGTCAACCCTTAAAGTGTGTGTCTGTTTCCAAGTGTGCACTAACTTCAGTCTCTATTTGAGAGGCCTGCTCGGTGAACTGTAAACTCCTTTGACAAGACGTTCCCCTCTCTGTATGCAGAGTGCACGACTGTGAATGTTTTATGAATCTTTATTTTAGAGGTTACACTTAATGGCCATGCAGTAACAAGAGGATTTGCAGCTTTTCTTCATTTTAATATTGTTATAAAGTGGTTTTGGAGGCTGGTCTGATATTATAGAAAAGGATGTAATTTTGGACTCAGGGATTGAAATTTAACTTTTTTCACAGTTAATCCAAATAATTAATCAACAGTGGAGAGAATAATGGCTGTCAAAGTGGCAGAGAAGTGATTAGCTCCATCGGGTCTTAAGAAACACTGCTGCATACGTTAAAAATGTTAAATGCAGGCTTTAGTGTTTGCAGAGTGAGCAAAACGTGACCAAGGTGGCATACAAAGCCTGTAAATAAAAGATGGACATTACGACCATGCCAAGACCGACTGGCCATGGACTCCAAATTGCAAAGCCTCAGTGAAGTATTGTTTTGAGTATTGTGTTTCACAGCCAGAAGATACTATATTTGGAAAAGAGTGTGGAGTGCTAGCATGGGTGCAGTCGTCAGAATACTAAAATTACATTCACCAAAACTCAAGCCCAAGTTTCTTAGACAGGTTATACCTCACTGCAAGCTATTATATTATTTAGATAATTCAATTAGGGATCCTCCGGAAGGCACAAACATGTGCATGTTTGATTCAGGATGACTGGATGAATCCATCCTGTATCTACAATGGTAAATTATATCTGATGTTTTCTGGCTGTTACTTTTTTGTCATTTAATTCTGATAAGTTAGAGTCCAGTTACAGTGCAGTTAAGGTGGTACCTAAAAATTAAAGCAGCAAAATTATCTTTGTTTTTTCCAGTAAAACCTCTTACTGTCATTTCATTTGGCTGTGAAATCACTGCGGTCAGAGAGCCTCACTGTCTTACATGGTGAGTGTAGCTGTACGTTCTACTTGACAGCAAACTCGATATCCATCCATCGTCTTCCATTGTGAGGCAGGAGGCTAAGCAGCCACACTTTCCACTTCCTGGAAAGATCCTGAGGTGTTCCCAGGACCGACGAGACATATAATCTCTCCGGCGCATTCTGATTCTACCCTGGGGTTTTCTTCCCAGTTGTGCATGCCCAGAAAACCTCCAAAGGGAGGAATCCTTCCTCTAACCAGATGCACCAACCACCTCAACTGGCTACTTAACATAAAGGAGCGGGGACCTTATTCCGAGTTCCTCACTGTACCCCTAAGACTAAACAGAGCTGGGGGAGTCTCTCACCCCCAACCATGATGGAGCGTTCCACCGTTTCCCATCAGGGAACCAGACCAGGGGGGTAGTTTAAGCCAATTTTTTGCTTGCTGTCCAATTTTTTTGTGCAAAGCAAGGAATAGCCTGGCAACCTTCAAACGATTTCTTTATTTCACCAGCTCTATCTACAACATCCTTAAACTTCCACTGACTCTTTCAGCTCTTAGGTGTCTCAGCACACCCTTCTACACCATATAGTGTTGTTGGTACAGCCATCGTAGGCCTGTAGGTTTGTTTCCAGCCAATGAAATGCCATCAAATTACACAACAATCATTGACCATAATCGACAAGGGAAACTGTATTCAAGTCGAACACAGAACACAAATAACATAATCACATTACATCACAAAATCCCAACTGTTGCAGCTCAGTCAAAGTGTGGGTTAGGTCATCAGCAGGTTATGGCAAATTAATCTGCTCACTGCAGACCTTTGACAGCTGCCAAGCACCTGCATGCACATCACCACCTCTCCAATTGAGTTTAGACACTCATGCAGCTCACTCACCAAGTCTTTAGATGTGCCCAGTCTCTTCAGACCATCCAGGGGCAGGAGGTCAGCAGAGTCCTTGTGTGTGAACTGGGTGGCCTGCTTCAGACGCCTCTGCTGGTGCAGGATGGCTTTATCCCGGATTGCTATCTCTCCTTTTTTCGCCTCGCTCATTGTCTCAGGCTATTAAAACCAGTTCTTTCTGATGCTGTGCACGGGAGCACGGAGACTGTAACCTCACAGCGGCAGCAGAAGAGGAGAAACCCCTCCAAAGAACATAAAGCTCTTGTCCTCTTTAAGGTCCTCAGCAGCAAAATAAACCTCTAAACGTTGCTTCTGTTGCTCTCTCTGAAATGCTGCTGTATAGTCCTGAGCATGTATTTCTCCCAGGAGCTATTGTCCTGCTCCTCTCATGTGCATCTTTCCTCACAGCGTCAAGATCTGCTGAGTCTCTCACAGAGGCTGCGAGGCTGTGTGGAAGGTGTGACAGAGTCTGTGTAAGTGTTTCCTCCCCTCAGAGCTGTCTGTCCTTGTATCGCTCTCTCTCTCTCACATATACATCTCTGCCTTCGGTAGTGCTTCTCTCTCTCTCTCCTCTCAGCCTTCCTCTTTCCCTCACCCCCAAACACTGAGCATATTTTCCCAGCTGACTCTTTGTACATCAGACCTCACTGCTCCCCTGCTAATCTGTAACCACATTCTTAACCATCACAGTAAGCATTTCTCTGCCTCGTCTAGTCTTTTAAACTGGCACAGCCACCCACACGCACAGTCTGTCACTCCTGTGTGTTGCTTCTGAGCCCGACACAGTTTGCAGCATCAGTCCCCCGCTGTGTAGGTGCAAGAGCTCGCTGTGGTCCGACCCCAAACAGGGGATCAATCTGCACCACCAATGGCAACAATTGATTTCCTTCCCGTCTGAATTAAAGAATCCATTTTCTCCTTTCCATCCATCCACACCACCAAAAGCTATAAATATGCCGTTCATCATGACCTCTACGCGATGACACATTTTTATACAGCAGTGGTGATTTGGCCTGGAGGTGTGGAGGGTTTCCTTGAAGTGTAGTATGGCTGCTCATTTATCAGTCACAGCGTTTAATGAGTGTATCCTTGCAGAGGGTGCGTGTTAATATATATATATATATATATATATATATATATATATATATATATATATATATATATATATATATAGACTGCTTTTTTAAAGTGTATAATTTTCATCTGGCAGAGGGAGTCCTTGTGAAGGTGAAGTGGAAAATACTGCCGAGGGATTTGATGTTTGTGTGCTGCCACCTGCTGGTTGAGTTTTTCTGCCCAACGTGCATCTTTTCTATCAGTAAAGAAAGGTTTTGAAACCCCTAAATCATAAAACACGTAAGCCCTTCCACGTTATCTCTGGGTCAATTACAATGGCAATGCAAGACAAACGCTGAGGCACAACCAGCCATTATTGAAAAGAATCTGGTTTTTTTTCCTTTGTACTGTACATGTCCTGTGTTACAGTTGGACAACTTAGCGAAGAACCAATATTAATTTTGTATCTTAAGGCACAGCAGATGAACAGTAACTGAAAGTCATGTCCTTAAGCAAAATGAAAAAATAGATCAAAGACCTGACAATGAAATTAGAGTTGCATCTGACCCTTCAAGTGATTATCTACTGTTCACTGAAGCATCATCAGAAATGGCCTCGGTGGAAGGGTGGCTGCCGAGAGAAATGTCTGAGGTATAATTGGTTCAAATCATCATCAGTATGTACAGATGAGGTTAGGAGAGAGGTAACAATGAGTTTTTAGAGCCATCTGTAATACATTAAGGCTCTGTCATGGTTTGGAGATGCATTTCAGCTGGTGGTGTTGGGGATCTTGTCAAGATTGATGGAATTACACAGAAAAGTACCAACAGTGTTTGCACCACCAAATAAAACCATCGGGAAAGGTTTTGAGTGGCGCTGGCTTCATTTTTCAGCATGACAATGATCTAAAGCACGCTGTCAATACATTTAAAGCATACCTGGAAAGAGAAACACACATTGGAGCACTATCAGTCTTATACTAGCCTCCCCAGAGCGCGGACCTCAACGTTATAAAGCAGTGTGGGATTACCTAAAGGCAGCCGACATAGGAAGAGTTTTGAATGTCTTTCAAGAAGCCAGGAGATTTATACTGAAAGGCTATTGAAATAATTTAAAAGTTGCCAAGAAAGTTCAGGCTGTGCTGAAGAATATACCAAATATTAACTTTCTAGTTTGTTAGAATTGTAGAAACACTGTTGAATTAATTGAAAAAGCCAAAATAGGTGACTTGTGATAGTAGACATACTAGTAAAGGTGAGCTAAAAATGATCTTTCTGTTGATTTGAGGTTTAATATTTCACAAATGGGTAAACAAATTAATATAAGATGGAAATAATATCACAGAAACCCTTAATTCATGGACCATGAATGAAGCCTCAAATTAGGAGCAAATGCACTTGCAGGCCAGGCATTTGTGCCAACTTTTCCTGGGAAGGAATGGAGCAGGGTGACCCTCAGAGGCAGGACTTTCTCCGGGGTCATGTTCCCGGAAAGTGGAAAAGATATTTTGGTAGCATGTCACATCATAGATTATCAGAGTTAAAAACAGTCAGTCCTTTCTGCTGGTTGAAAATAAGCTACTTTTGGCTGTTCCCTAGTCACAATGGGTCACCACAGCGGGTAGCTCAGCATGTCTGAATTTTATAGCCAGATGAAGGATTTATGTCTCTGGCTGAAAGGGAACCAGTGTAATGAAACCAGTGAATGTGCAAACCACACTCTCCGTTATTTGTTTGTTTGTGTGTGTGTGTGTGTGTGTGTGTGTGTCTGATTAGTAGGATAGCATTTAGCAAAGAGAAGACACTGGAACAGACCCCTGAACTTCACCTTTATTGGTCATGACTTAAATGTCCAAACTGTCAAACAACCACTGCAGCAGTTTCAGACTCACTTCTCAAACCTGCACCCGTCCCTCCATTCATCGCAGAAATGAAAACAAAACCTGCTTCAGCAAAAATCAGAAAGTAAACACAGCGATATTGGTTGGTTGCTGGAAATGTAACAGAGTCCTGCATCTTGTGCTTTTTTTCCTGTTTTTATCCTCGCAGAAGGCACGTGTGCATCAGTTCATGAAATCGCGCTTTAAGCTTTCCTTAGTGTCTCTCTGAAGAGTAAGACTATGCAAGTGTTCATACAACACATGAAGCTCCCTCTGAAAGAACTTCTGCTCCTTGTACGACTGGCAGTGTAAAACCAAAGCCACGTTATGATTACCTGCCATGTGCAGCGCATTAATGCATGTTGTTTCTGAGATTTTTTTAAGGTTTGTAGTGTGTTGTGCTGTGTTATGTTAAACTTTGATGCCAATGGAGTGTAAACATCAGGAATAACGTGGCCGTTAGATTTGAAAGCATGCTGTTATGCAGCCCTCGTCAGTGCCTCTCATGTTTTGTATGGTCGTGGATGTAAAAGTAGAAAAGTGCGTTTTAAGTCTGCTTAAGACAAAACAGTGGCAGGCAGGAGATCTGCACAGAGCCTAACTCGGAGTATCATGTCTCATTTCAAAGGCGGAGGGGTTTTCAAATCGCCTGAAAACTCTGGGTGCTGAAATATTTTAGTTAAAATAAAATAAAATAAAGTAGACAGAAAGGAAATAAATAAAACGAATAAAAAGTTTTTCGTTAATTAAAAAAAATCAACCAAAATAAAAATATAAAGAAACTGTCAGCAGTTTTAGTGTTTGCAGGCTGTGCTTACTGAGTCAGCTGCTTCCAAAAAATGTTTTTATTATAATGATTATTCTGAATTTTGTTAAGCCTGGGACCTGCTAAATATCCTCCATGTAGTAATAAATTAAAACATGAAAAACTGAAAAAAAAAAAAAAAAAAAAAAAAAAAAACTTTAATTAAAAAAAGAATTAAAACTAATTAGTGCATTTTTTATTATTCTATTTTTTAATTAAGCTGTATTTAATATTTTCTTTCAGTTTATTTTCTCAGTGTTTTTGTTAAATGATTTTTGGAAAGAGTGTGGACAGAAATGTCACGCTGTAAATGTTAAAGAGTAACACAGCATGTGAAAAATATGCAGGATCCAGGCTGTGCGCAAAATTAATTTCCAGTTTTTCAAAAATTCATTTTAACGTCACAGTCTACAAATAATAAGGAAAACTCATCCCCACAGTGATGCTGCAGACTTTTTAGTCTCTCTGAAAGAAATTCATAGAAACAAAAATGAATATTTTGCATGTTAAACTAGAAGTTTTGAAATTTGGACTCCAGATTGGTTTTCACATGCTGCGTCACACAAAGAGGTTGTTAAAGCTCTGTACGTGATATAATTTACACTATTTGAATTGGAAATGTTTTTCTCATCAAACATCATTTCCAGGACCCTAAAAGACTCTTTTGACCATATGTATGCTGTTCCTCCACCTTTCAAATCTGCAATCCAACCATCATGTGCTCATCCAGATGGTCAGAGGAGACTTTTTGAGGGTTGTGGAAATGCCTTCAAAAGGCAAAACCAGCTGGTTCTGTGTTTTCTAAACTTCACCTGGTGATTATTTAATGGTGACTGCTGACTTTAACACATGAGAGGCACAAACTGGTGCTTTGGGCCACACTTGTGATTATAGCTTTTCCATTTGCATCCACAGCAGTATCTTTAGCGTAGTGCACGTTTTTCAAGTTTTTAAATCCGAGGCACGGCGGTCACGAGGCGTTCAAACTGCCAACCACACCCTGACGCCACAGATCCCCAATGAGTGCAACAATAATTGGTCTGTTAACAGTGCTCGAGCTTTCCCGCCGCTCTGCGTGTCACAGCACGTTAGGAAGGTAAAGTGAGCAGAGCAGCATGTTCTGTCCCAGAGCCGGGAAGCGCCTGAAGGCCTCCCAAGCGTCTGAGAAAATGTTATATTTGAGAAAAACGCGGTGTTCCAGGCTGGTGGGCAGGCTGACGTCCCGGCTCATAATGTAGATGCCGTCGTTGTGCAGCGTGCATGTCAGGTTCAGTCCCGACTTGGACGTGTTCTCCTTCAGCTGGAGCCACTCCCCTGTGGTGACGTTGTACGACTGCACCGTCAGCACGTCCTCCGTTTGGCTGGGACGTCGCCGCCGCAGCCCCGTGTCCAGCTCGTGGGTGTATCCACCCACCAGGTAGATGGTATCCTCCACGGAGAGCATCTGCTGCTTCCGGATGTGAGCCGGGCAGGATCGGAACGTCGTCCAGGTGTCAGAGATGGGGCAGTATCGGAGGATGTTTGTGTTCCTCTCTGTCCGGTGTAATGGGAAGAAGAAACAAAAAAAACTTTACGAGAGTAATTGTTACATATTTAATATTAGAAAGCCCAAAATAAAATAAAAAATTAAAAAAAAAAAAACACAGAATGACTGAATAATTAACAAAGAGAAATGTAAGAATGTGCTCCAACATAAACAAACCGATAATAAAATAAAGAATCGTTTTTAAATCTTATAAAATCTCCTACAACCTGGGAGATGCATTGAAGTTGCTCATCTTATTTAAACAAAAACCCAAATATGGAAGCAATAACCGCTTTGATATCCTGTTCACCCAGCAGTGATAAATCCCTTATAATTAAGGTTATATAAGAGATAATCCGGGAAAAGGTGTCCTGATTATAAACGATATGTTGCTGACTGGTAAAGGGATAAATACACATTAAAATGAAGAGTTTATAGGATTATAAGAAGCAGGAGCAGCTCAGCAGACCCAAATATGAAGGATCCAAACTACCAAAATCTTAAATTACTCAATATAGAAATAATGAGTCATTCAGAGATCAGTCTGGGTGTGTAGTAACTACCTTAAGGTGCATGAGCGGTCCATGCTTTTACTGTAAAAGTTTAATAACTTTTTGTGTGATTTCTCATTTCAATTATATTTTTGTCTTTTTGCTTATTGTATTTATTATTTTTTACTTTACTTAAAATTCTCGTTGGGCGCTAAAATGTGACATGGACATAATGGTTCTAACGAATGCCTTTAGAGGGTTTTTTTAAAGGGGGTAAAAAGTGATCTAATTTTGTTTGAGAAAAGTAAACTGCAGCTCAAGAGGAACTGAATCTGAGAATATAAACAGCTGTAGGTAAGAAAGATCCAAAAACATCTGGTGGTGCAGCAAAGCCTGCGTCTCTAACAGCCAGCAGGGGGCAGATGGTTACGTTGTACAGAAGTGCATGAGAAAAGGTCCTCGGCTCCCTCTTAGTATGAACTCAGTAAACACTTTGCTGATGAGTTTATGGCTGCAAAGCACACGATGTTTGTTTTGTAAACTGTGGTCCCATTAGAGTCAAAGAGGAGGGTGAAGCTGGATGTTTCAGACTTTGTTATTAACAAATCACCAGAAGAAGCTGCAGTGTGGAAACGCGATCAGATTTGGATAATCACAAATCCTTTATGGTGAGGAACGGAAAACAAAGAAAGGGATGGATGCACTTCTGCATTAACGGTATGTAAAACATCTACTTCAAACTGTCAACAGTGACAAAACAACACAAGGACAACGTGACAAACACCACAGCCAACTGAGAGGAAGTGCAACAATGCAACAACAAGAAAATCTGAATTCACACAAAGTCATTTTCAGTTTAACTCACTTTTACTTAGTGACCTCACAGTATAAGGAAAAGACACTGTCCTGGGTATCTGTGTTCTGTTTGTTCCTCTTCTCTCGCTTCTCTTATTTTAAGCCTAATTTTTTCCCCTTGTGACGATTAAACTTAACAAAACAAACATCTTGATGTTTTCAGTAAAACGTATCAGGAAACTGTTTACTGTCTTTACACTATAAACTGCCTTGATATGAGAGTTACAGTTACCTGACACTAAAAGTAAAAAAACAGATGTTCCCTTATGAGCAGCACATGGCGACAGCAGGGAGGAAGAACTCCGTTTAACAGGAAGTCTTCTCCAACAGAATCACCGTGACATACAAACATCTGTTGAGACTAACCAGAGGCTAAAAATACCATACAGCCATCAGGGAGGTTTTTACTCTGTGGAATTAAGTTCTGTTTTTTCCCTTCATTTCTCAGAGGCTTTTTGGAGGAGTTATAACTACAGTGCCATGAAAAAGTAGTAGTCAGGATTGGGTGTGGCTAAAAAAATGTGGTTAATCACAATTAATCTATGAGTTAACAAGAGGAGTATTTACTTTTTCACACAGGGCAGGTAGATTTGGATAATTTTTTTCTCTTAATAAATGAAATTATCTTTTAAAGACCGCATTTTTTATTTTATTCAGGTCATCTCGCACTGTGGTTTCTGCTGTGAAATGATTCACGTCACCTTCAACCTCTAAATGTGGGCTTTTTTTGCTCCTTAAAAAAAAAAGGAGAAAGAATCACTAGATGAAAATTCAGTTACTCTCCAAACTGTTGTCGGACTGTGTTGGCGTGTTAGTGTATATGCTGCTGTAGCTCCTGTACACACACCTCTCGCAGTGTATCCACCCATGACGTAGATCATACCCTGGCACTCACAGGCAGAGAACTCAGCCAGCGGGTCGGGCATCGAGGAGACGCAGGTCCACCAGTCCTGCTCAGGGCTGTAACACTCCACTGTGCCCAGACACTGGCCTCCCACAGCGTACAGCTTCCCCTGTACAGCCAGCAGCTTGAAGTTGGACCTGCATGAGAAGAATCACTGACTGAAACGCGATGCAAGGCAACCAATGGGGACCAAGTGGGGACTCGTGTTACCTCTTCTGGTTGAGTGGCGCTACCTGGTTCCACTCGTTCCTGCAGGGGTTGTAGCAGTGCACAGCAGAGATCTCCTGACTCGTCATCCTGTACCCGCCAACTATGAACAAGTAGTTATCGAGGATGGCCGACCCATACCCCCTGACGTTGATCATATCTGGAGGGAGGTTGTTGGCGAGAGGCTTCCAGCGCTGCTCCACCTCTCCATACCTCAGCATGGACCAGGGCTCATCCTGATCTGGAACGTCCAGGGACAGGCTGGTGAAGTCTCCGATGGCCACCAGGGTGGCAGTGCCATTCATGCGCATCTCCTTGACTTGGTCCCTGACAGCAGAGGCCAGGCTGCTGAACTCGGGCCGCCTCAGCATGGGGTGGTAGTAGCAGGTCATGTATTTGAGGCAAGCGGTACGCAGGTCGTGAGTCCCATACACCTCGGAGAGGCTGTACAGCTCCACGCAGTTCTCCAGCCGGATCTCCGAAGTGAGGAGCTTAAGGATGGAGGTGACCTGGAGAAAGGAGGCGGTCTCAATCAGATCCTCCAGAGTCTCGTTGACTACCTGGACTTTGGAGGTGTTGATGAACTCCAGGACCAGCTCCAAGCCCAGGACGCTGAGTCCTTGCAGCTGCACCGAGTCCTCCGTGGACTCCCTCATCCCCGAGCTGTACAGAGCTCGGAAGTAGTCGCTCTTCTCAATCAGCTTCTTTTTATTCACCTCGTAGGTTTTGTCATCCATGATGATGGCGATGATCTGCTCGGATGACATGGTGAAGATGGTGGTTTTGGTCTCTCAAGCTGAGTTTTGTCTTTGCTTTCCCTTTCTCAGTCTCCCGAGCCCGTCGCCGTTTACATTTCACCGGCCAGGGAGCTCCGTGCCCGGTCTATATATGGTAATGCTCAGCCCGTAGATCGCCATGGAGCTGGGAAGCTAATCAGCTAGCTGTAGAGGCGCTGCAACCGCTCCCGGATAAACCGGCCAAAAGAAGCTTTTCCCCGTGATGGCATTCCTCCACAACTCGGCCCCACTTTCTGAAAATGTTGGTTGAATATCACGGTTTGTTTCTCAGCCTGCCAGGAACGTTTTCATAACATTTTCCTTGTGAGGGACAATGTCGAGCTGTCAAATTTAACTGTTTTGATTCTGCACCCTACATCATGTGCGTCTTCTTCTTCCATTGGAATTATTGGCAGATTAGGCGTATCGAAGACACCTTACTGCCCCCAGCAGGTCGTTATTAGAATTACATAACATGGTTTGAATAAATGATGAGAGTATGTTAAATATTTGATCCCCCTTTTGATTAGTCTATTTATTTTTGTGATTGTTTATTTATTTATTTATTTCTATTTACTTATTTTATTTGGTTTGGCTAATTTTGATTAGTTAGTTGTTATTATTTATTTAGATTTTTTAATTAAATAAAATTTAATTTGGGGTTTTGTCAGAGATGCTATTGGCTGTGGTCACCTCAGCTTGACCATAATTTCTTCATATTTTGGTTCCAAGGAACCAGACTTTCTTGTCATTTTTAAAGTGGGCTTGAGCAGCAGTTCTCCAGGATTTCTGAATATCTTTCAAAGTTTTTCTTTGGACATTGGCTGCTTTTTTAAATCATTTTCAGTCCAGTTCACGTACATATTTACAGAAGAATGATTTACACTAGGGCTGCCACTAGGGTTGCCAACCGTCCCTTAAAATACGGAATCGTCCCGTATTTAGAAACAAAAGTACACGTCCCGCATTGAGCTAATAAGGGACGCACTTTGTCCCGTAATACAGTGAGAATCAAAAGTAGTCTATAAATGTTTATGGAATTAACGCTTTGTTTGAAAACATAATTCCCAGCCCCTCTCCTGCTTTGTGACCAATGAGCTGACAGCACACTTATGACAATTCGAGTATGACAATTCAGATTACCGCTCATCTCATTGGTCGAGGAAAGGTCGCTTACGGAGAAAATACCGGAAGACAACAGATGACCACAACAAGAAGCATGGCCAACAGGGAAACAAATGCCGACACTGCGGTGCAAGTCTCGGACAACAGTACACCTAAAGCTGGGCAGACACTGTGCGATTTTTTCAGTCACGTTATTCAGCTCCTGCTCAAACTGCACGATTGACTCGCAGGGGTTAGAAGTTGGTAGGTCACGATGCAGGTCTCACACTATACCGCCCGATGCTCTGATGCGACCTGAGTGCTCACACTGTGCGTCCATAAAATTAAGGTTATAACAGAAAATCTGTCGCTCTCTCTCTCTGTCTTTCACTCACACAGACACACCACCACCATCAACTTTGCTAAATTGCTAATGAAAAACATGATCAGGCAGCTGTGATTTAGCAGCGATGTAGATCCAACTATTTTCACGGTTGTTGTGGTCGTGATAATTTTGTGATGCCACATCGAAAAGGCTCGGATGAGCTTTTCAAAGTTCTACAAGTTGTGCCTCCATCGCTTGTGTCCAGATCACACGCTGCACAGCCGTGCTGCTCCATCTTTTTCACGGCATTTTACGTGTTTGCGCGCGAGCAGTGTGAGCGGCTCACGAGCGATTGATGATCGGGAGCTGGTCGTGAGGTGTTAATCACTTCTCGTTACCCCACGTATACTACACGATGAAGGCCAAAATCGGTCCGATCACTCAAAAATCGGCTCAAAATGGGCCTGAAACCGCACAGTGTGAGCCCAGCATTAGAGCAGCAATGTTTGTTCCCCTCAGAGAAAGGGAAGAATGGGAAAAGGAAAACACCTGGCTGGAAAAAGTTAATATGGGCATGTGCAGTGAATATCAGCGCTATGTGGCCAGAAGTGTGATAATATAACTTATTTTGTGTAATAAACGACTGCAAGGATAGATGATTACAACAAATTGATGACTAATACATAAAAGTAATACACAGATGAATAATGATGATGAGTTAAGGTGCGTAATCATGGGAACAAGCGGGTTTTCAAACGGGAGCAGCTGATTAGCATTAGAAAAGCTGAAATAATACCTCAACTGAAGCCAATTGTACTAAATGCACTAAATGTGCACTGTTACAAGAATATTTTTCTTTCTATTATTTTCTATTATTTTAAGTTAAGCAGGACAGAGTTCTTTTAAAGAAAGATTTACTTATATTCTCAAAAGTTAAGCATGACAGGCTTCTGTTTAAGAAGGAGACCTGTTTTATGTGTTAATGTTGTCATTTTGAGCTAAAAATAAATGGCTAAATGATCATTTGTTTCACATGTGTTCATATCACAAAGAATACACATCTACTTAAATCAAATTCAAGTCAAAGGGTTAAAAAAAATAATTTCACACACAAAAAAAGAGCTAGAAAATTCACCACACTGGGAAGGGTGAAGACAACTGGGTCGCCCGGCCCTGGCCACGAGGTGTCCCTTATTTATTTTTCAGGGAGTTGGCAACCCTAGCTGCCACAAACGATTATTTTGATAGTCGACTAGTCACCGATTATTTTTGTGATTAGTCGACTAATCAGATCATCATCCATTGGACGTACAGCGTACAGCTTATTGCACCAGCAGCATCTGGTCTTATATAACTATCATTAGCTTACAGCTTGAAGTGTTTGTGCTAACTAAAAATAAAGACAAGATGGTAGTTTATTAATTTTTAATGAAATTTGCAGATTGTTTCGGTGAAGTTTAATAAACTCCTTGCTTTCTAAAATATAACAGGACACCGGAGTATATTATCCAGCGTCTCAAACGTCTGATGATCAGCTGTCTGCTTGAAGTTTATTTAGCTGTGCAAAAACTATAACTTTAATCTTAGCCAAACAGATTTACTCAGGAACAAATAAAATACTAAAGAAAGCCAAACAATAACATTTTAAGTTATCTAAGTGACTTATATATCATGTTTAACCTGAGTAGCGAAAGACAGTGGTGGGTTTGAAAACGATTTGCCGGGAGTCCGGTGTTCTCACGGCTCTAGTTAGCCTTGCCCCCGCCTAGCTAACGAGCTAGTGGGTAACAGACATCTCCGAAAACGTCGGAGAGCTTTTGAAAATATGTGGTGTCTTGATAAACTGAGCAGATATTTGAGGTTTACACAGCTACATTCTCGCCTGAAAATATGTTAAACGTTTATTTTGTGACCCAGAAAGAATAATAAGAGTAAAGTTAAAACTAACTAGCTGCCACCATTGTTGACAGCTGCGCTATGAATTCTGGGACACAGCTTCTTCTTCTTCGGGGTTTAACGGCAGCTGGCATCCTTGTACATGCAGTGCTGCCATCTTCTGTTTCAGTCCGTTATTACACCCTTAAATCCTACTACTCATTCCTGCGTCCTTTGTGATCTTACAAAGCTTCAAACGATGCGTCGACTATTAAATTAGTCGTCGACGATTTTAATAGTCGACATAATCGTGACTAGTCGACTAATCGTGGCAGCCCTAATTTACACTTATTAGGTCATTTAACACTAACCCTTGAGTCTATGAAGCACTAAAAACAATGTTGTGTCTTGCAATAATACATATATGACAAACATAAAATGTCAAATAAATATTATGAAGTATCTAAACAAAGTAACGGTACCCTGGAGTTGTGTCACTGGCGTTGCTGATTAAGAAAAGCCTTTTATTTTGAAGGAAAACACCGCGGTGCTGACATCTATAACATGTTTCGTGAAGCGCTGCAAAAAATTGGTGTGGCGAGTCCAGTATCTCTTTTCATTTTTCAGACCTTTTCTTTTTTATATCATAATTTCATATGAAGCATTTAGTTGAAGTTGTTAGAGAACTGAAAAAGAAAGAAGAAAGAAATTTTGTGAGAAAAACAAGACTGACAACATGTGGTTTGATGCCCTATAGGTTTAGAATTTTTTTTTATAGAAGTTGTCACTGGTGTCACCTTGATGATGAATCACAACAGAGCTGTTACAACTAACTAACACCACCGTTAACCATTAACAGAAATAAAAAGCTCTTCATGAAGTTTTGTAATAATAATAATAATTAGTAGTAGTAGTAGTAGTATTAATCCTGTGTTTGTATGTCTAAATCAATTCCACCCAATCCCTGGGTGGTTTATTGTGTCACTGATGTTACTATGCTTTGGGGTTTGGGGGATTTTTTCCCCGACTGTCACAGATCCATTGAATTCTGTTACACTTAAGGGTAAACATCAAATGGATTGTGACACTACTCATTATAACAGTTGCATAGCAAATAAGTGGCTTCACAAATGAACAAACACTGTGCAATCAAACTTAACAACTGAAAATAAGAAAACATAATCTCCTGATTTGTTGCATTATGAGTGCAAGTCCGACTACATGTGCTGAAGAGACTGAGGAAATAATATTTATCAAACGCCTTTTAAATTGCAGAAAGAGTGAGGTAACACCATCTAGTCTGTAAGCCGATGTACAAAAGGAGATTAAAAATCATTAATTTGCCTTTTTTTGTGAATACTAAAGTGAACAGGTTATGTTATAATATGGTCTATGTGTAAACATTAGAAAAATAAAGCAATTTTAGGACATCTCACCATCGCCAAATCGGAGTTTATGTAGAATAAAAAAAATAAATACAGACAGGATGAAATTCAGTTTTAAAAATGTTGGACCCATGTTACAAGGTGTTTTATTTTTAGGTACAACTAGTGATTGTAATCCTGCAGAGAGAAAATTACAAACTAAATAAATGTTTAGAAATTATTTGTACATGTATTGTATTTTAAATTATAATCTTTTTCCATCAGATGCAGATCTCATTATTCAGATTAATGATTAACTCTCTTCGCTAACTAATATTCAGAGACATTTATTTTAAGATCGTACACAGTTTTACTGAGAGAAAGGACACCAGTGCACTGCATATATTTTTAATTTAAAAATAAATATAATAATAACCACACATTATAAAACCCTGGAGAATAAACCCAGGATAACGGTGTTGTGATAAAAACTGAGGTTCATAGGACGTAACAAGAGAGCTTTAATTTGAAAACCTGTACCGGAAACGATTTTTATTATCAGCCTGTTGACGCTGTTGTGGGTGGAGGAGGGGAGAGTGGGTGAGACAGGCAGGCGGGAGCATCAATGACAGGGACTCTTCTTGTGCGGCCCGCTTCGAGTACGCGGCTCCAGGCAGCGGACACCCGGCGCTCTGTGACCCGGACTGA